CAGGAAGCCTGGGATTCTTATGGAGGGCTCCTCTCAGAGCTCCTATTGCACAGCTCCTCAGAGCTGTGGCCAGACTTCTGCTTACCGCTAGCTGTCATTTCAAGGGACCTCCTGAAGGCCAGGCACTCAAAGAACACAAATACTTTCTGATTCTCTAGATGGCAGGCCGTGGGACTTGGGGACTGCCTCTTGAACTCATTCCTTTAAAAAATGTGAAAACATCTTCCATGTTCTTTCCTTATGATTTTTTCTACAATAAGAACTTGTAATCTGTTTTAGGGGCCAGCACTGTGGCACACTAGGTTAATCCTCCGCCTGCAGCGCCAGCATTCTATATGGGTGTCAGTTCTAGTCCCAGTTGCTCCTCTTCCAGTCCAGCTCTCTGCTGTGGCCTGGGAAGGCAGTGGAGGATGGCCCAGGTGGTTGGGCCCTGCACCCGCATGGGAGACCAGGAGGAAGCACCTGGCTCCTGGCTTTGTAGTTCCGGCTGTTGCGGCCATTTTCTCCCTGTCTCTCTCACTCACTGTCTGTAACTCTACCTGTCAAATAAATAAATAAAAATCTTTAAAAAAAAAAGAACTTGTAATCTGTTTTAAAACTTTTACAGCATCTATGTAGGAACTCTAAAAAAGACCATTAAAATGTTGGCAATTACAGGGTTTACATAGAACAGTAAGAGTGATTGCCTCTGGTTGGTGAGATTATATATAATTTTCCCTTTTTTAATTTTGCCTTATCTGTAATTTCTACCAATTTTTTTCCTCCCATTACATTTTATGTAAAAATAGTGATTATATTAGGTTAGTGACAGTACCATACTGTCACTAGCACGTATTTTCTCCACTTACTACCTGGGGAACATTGGAAAACTTCTTTGCCTCCCTGACTTTCAATTTTCTTATCTATGAAGTGGAAATAATAATAATAGTACACAGTTTGTAGAATTATGGGGAGGTAGCAAGAAATCATTGAATGTACAGATCCTAGGATATGATAGGTGCTCAGTTAGCATACCCATGGGTCTACCAGTATTCATATCTCTTTGTTCTTAGCTTTAGCCCAGGGGAAAAAAATCAGCAGTGGTTTTAAATTCTGTATGGGAAGAACCATAGAAATTTGTAAATCATGTAAGCAAAATCTTTAATCGAGCCGTTATTCCAAATCTCAGTTCTTCCTTATGTGTTGTTTGATGACCAGCTCTAACAAGATTTTATAACTAAATGCTACATGATAGCAGGCAGAAAAGCATGGTCAGATTCTCCCAAAAGGAAGGCCAGGGAGCACTGTCTACAAAGATGGCCGTGGAGGTGAGGAGCAGGTAAGAGGCCTCTGCAGTTTCCGGGACAGGGCAGAAGGTGGACGTTTCAGGGTCCTGCTGGGTGCTTGTTTTGGCCCTTCCTCAGCTCGCACTGCTTAGTAGGAAGCTGCAGTCTCTCTGTTTGGGAGCTTAGGCTCCGTTTAGGCAGCTCTCTAATTGGTTTGTGTCATTCATCAGGAATTTCTTTTCTTTAAAGTTGGTGACTCGATGCCAGATTGTGGGGAGAGATTTCGTACCACCCATATCTGTTTTGTTGCTCCTCCAGTTAGAAAGCAGGTGATGCAGAGGCTCCTCTGGCAGTGTCCTTAGCTTGGCTCCCAATTTCAACAGAGTTGGAGGCCTGGGCTGGTTGGTTGGGAGGCCCTCACCGCCCACCCCAACCCAACCTTGGCAAATCAGGAACAGCACTGGTGCACCCAGCTGAAGGGGCTAGACACTCTGTGTCTCCTGGGTTCAATTGAAGCCTTCCTGATTGGGCTCTGGAATAGCTAAACAGCTCTTTCATTGCTCTGGAGGTTTGGCAGAAGGAAGGTGGGGGCAAGTGTGGAAGGAAAGCAAGCAGAAAGCATCAGAAGAGGATTTGCTACAGATTCCTCAAACTCAGCAGGTTCAGGAATAAAGTCATCTCCCCTCTCAAACCTGTGCTAACTGCCCTAGTCATGGGCACCACTGTCTTATCACTCACGAATGAATAGAACCTCGGAATCATGGAGTAGAAGGGTACATGATGTGATTTTCCAAAGAGACAATCAATTAAAGATTGAGACCCTATTATTGGGGCTGGCACTGTGGCACAGAAGGTTAATCCTCTGCCTGCTGCGACAGCATCCCATAGCCCAGCAGCCAATTCCAGTCCCGGCTGCTCCTCTTCCAATCCAGCTCTCTGCTATGGCCTGGGAAAGTAGAAGATGGGCCCCTGCACCCACATGGGAGACAGGAAGAAGCTCCTGGCTCCTGGCTTCAGATAGAAGATGGCCCAGGTGCTTGGGCACCTGCACCCGCGTGGGATACAGGAAGAAGTTTCTGGCTCCTGGCTTCAGATCTGCATAGCTCTGGTCATTGTGGCTGTTTGGGGAGTGAACCAGTGGATAGAAGACCTTTCTCTCTGTCTCTCCCTCTCAATGTCTGTAACTCTACCTCTCAAATAAATAAATAAAAATCTTAAAAAAAAAAAAGGACCCTATTATCTTTTACTTTGAAGTCAACCTTTCTCTTTCTTTTCATTGTAACTGCTATATTCCAGGTCTTCACAGTTTTTCTGCTTCCAACTGTTCTCTACTACTCTGTACTCTCCCAAATCCATCCTGTCTCTCAAGTTGTGATCATTCAATCTACGGGAAACAAAGCCATGTTCGGGATGGGCATTTCGACAAGCAGTTGAGATACTGGTTAAGGCACCTGTGTCCCATATCAGAGTACCTGAGTTTGAGATTCAGCTCTGTTGGCTCAAGCTTCCTGCTAATGCACACTTTAGGAGGCCGCCGCAGTGGCCCATGTGGTTGGGCCCTTGCCACACACATCAGAGACCTGCGTTGAGATACCAGATACTGGCTTTGGCTCAGGCCAGTCTTAGCTATTGTGGGCATTCAGAGAGAGTGAATCAGATGGGAGCTCTCTCTGCTTGTCTATATCTTTTCTCTCTGCCCCGCAAATACATACATACATATCATGGTCAAGTTCACATTTCTTCCTTTATTGAAAGCTTTCCTTAGTCCCCTATTGATAGAGAACAATACTTTACAGAATAAGCATACACTGCTTAGACTAGATTTCAAAATCTATTATTGACTGCAATCTACTTGTCCAACCTTCTGGATGAATTCTTCCCCCGCGGATACCAAGTTTAAGTCAACTAGAACATTTAACATAACTTCCTCCTGGTATACCACTAGATTTTTATGCCTGTAGGGACTGGAGATTTTGAAGACTGAAATTGAAGATTCTATGGAATGATAAAAGTGAAGAAGATTTGGAAATACATATTTAGAAAATATTTTGCCTCAACAGTGATATGTAATATCCTATAAAGGGTATAATATTACACAGGAGACATATAAAATTTATGCTTGGGTCCCACTTTGCTTCTTGGGTATAAGAGAATGTGGTAGGGTAAAGAATGATGAAACAAGTTTATTTACATACTCTATGTTCTACAAGATTTTTTGTGGAAGTTTCTCTGGAAAAACAGAACGGGTCTTCAAACTTTCATAGAAAATGTGTATAAAATATTATGCATAGATTTCATTTTCTATTGCATCCATATCTACTCATATTTTTATTTCGTTTTCCTATAAGCTTTTTTTGAAGTGCCTTTATAGTGTCAATCTCATCTGTCCCTTTTAGAGAGATGGCAAACCTGTATTATGGGTGGGGGGGAATACATAAGCTTTGCATCAAATAGACCAAAAATAATACGTTAGCAATTTTGAGTAGGCTCTTTGAACTCCAATTTACTCAAAGACAGAGAAAACAGTATCTGTTTGCAAATTACTACAAGATATATAGATAATGAATGTAAAGTGGCTGATTAATAAATATCACCTCTGTGCCTTGTCATACAAGGACATTACTACCATAGGAAGTGTGCTGTGTGTAAGCTGTATACTTACAGGCAGAATATGAATGCCCATTTTCATATGCCAAACATTTAGAATCACACACAGAAAGCCAGGGGGAATATCATCGTTATTCTTTTTTTTCTTTTTAAACTTTTATTTAATAAATACAATTTCCAAAGTACAACTTTTGGATTATAGCGGTTTTCCCTCCCACCTGCAAACCATCCCATCTCCTACTCCCTCTCCCATCCCATTCTTTGAAGCAGAAGGAATCTGTTAATAAGATTTGTAGGTTAGCCGGCGCCGCAGCTCACTAGGCTAATCCTCCACCTGTGGTGCCGGCACACGGGGTTCTAGTCCTGATCGGGGCACCGGATTCTGTCCCGGTTGCTCCTCTTCCAGTCCAGCTCTCTGCTGTGGCCCAGGAGGGCAGTGGAGGATGGCCCAAGTCCTTGGGCCCTGTACCCGTGTGGGAGACCAGGAGAGGCACCTGGCTCCTGCCTTCAGATCAGCGCAGTGCGCTGGCTGCAGTGGCCATTGAGGGGTGAACCAACGGAAGAGGAAGACCTTTCTCTCTGTCTCTCTCTCTCACTGTCCACTATGCCTGTCAAAAAAAAAAAAAAAAAATTTGAAGGTTAAGAGTGATACTCATTGGGCCAGCACTGTGGTACAGTGTTTTGTTTTGTTTTTAAGATTTATTTATTTGAAAGTCAGAGTTACACAGAGAGAGAAGGAGAGGCCACTGGTTCACTCCCCAGTTGGCTGCAACGGCCAGAGCTGTGCCTGTCTGAAGCCAGGAGCCAGGAGCCAGGAGCTTCCTCTGTGTCTTCCCATGCAGGTACAGCAGGGGCCCAAGGACTTGGGCCATCTTCCACTACTTTCCTAAGCCATAGCCGAGAGCTGGACTGGAAGTGGAGCAGCCAGCACTTGAACCAGCGCTCATATGGGATGCCAGCACTGTAGGTGGTAGCTTTATTTACCCTCTAAGCCACGAGGCTGGCATGTAGTAGGTTAATCTTATGCCTGCTATACCAGCATTTCATTTGGGCGCTGGTTCTAGTCCCGGCTGTTCCTCTTCCAATCCAGCTCTCTGCTATGGCCTGGGAAAGCAGTAGAAGATGGCCTGAGTGCTTGGGCCTCTGCACCCATGTGGGAGACCAGGAGGAAGTTCCTGGTTCCTGGCTTCGGGTGGATGCAGCTCTGGCCTTTGCAGGCATTTGGGGAGTGAAGACCTTTCTGTCTGTCTCTCCTTCTCACTGCCTGTAACTCTACCTCTCAAATAATTAAAATCTTTTTTTTTTTTTTTTTTTAAAAGAGTGACACTCATTATTCACTCTGCCTAGGGTGAGATGTAGAAAAACTCCAACACTTTCCCATATGTCCTTCTATTAGCATAACTTTTGCCTAGTGTTTCAATACCCACTTCTTATTAAATTTTGATTTTCCAATGAAATTGTCACTTCTTTAGTGATTAACTAATTCTGAAGACTCACAAGGAGTCTCCCCATCTGTAATACAGACTTTGCTTCTTGTGGTTTTCTCCTCCTGTCTTAGAACACATATCTTCCTAGTAGACTGTGAGCACCCTGAATGCAGAAAAATTTCCTTTTTCATCTCCAATGAACACTGCCTATGGAAGATCTTTTTTTAACATAAAATTCCACTCAGCATACATTTGAATGAATGAATGGATGATATTGTTGCTAAATAATAACTCTAAGCCTTTAAATAAGAATTCATTTTTGCATAGTATTCAGAACTTTAGTCAACATAAACTCTGTTACCCACTACTCAGATTGCAAAAGAGAGCTTGCAAAGGAGCGCTTGGTTTATTTCCCATTCAGACTATTATGAAGATGCCTCTTTGATATTCTAAGACTCATTTCTTCTTTGCTGTCTGTAGGGAATATATGTGGGGATGTGGTTGAAGAAGTCTTCATTTGTACCCAAATACCTTTAATTTAAATGATCAGAAGTTAGTTCCCAGTGGTACATGCTGCTATACTGGTCATGAGGCAGGATTAAGAAAAGGTCATGCTCAAATTTTCTCTTTGGCTCTTAATAGTCTCTATTTACAATGTAAATAGAATTAATTTGCTAGACTCTAAATGTTCTCCTACTAAATTATGTTGTGAAAAGGTGATTTATTTTATTTCATTTTTAAAAGATGCATTTTTTAAAACACATGAGCCATTTCTTAAACTTTGACCAGGGTAGATTTTTAAAAACTCATTTGGGGTTTTATCTCCCTTAATTTAAGAACTATGTGGAGGCACACTTGCTGATGAGCTGGCAACTCAGTGCCTGTCTTACTAAGATATTACACATGCAATTCCTCTTGCGTTTGCCTTGAGCATTTAGCCTAAATAAGTCATTGGGAGGGTTTGTTTGTTCTACCTTTAGTTTTTGATCAAAAGCTTCTTTATGAAAGATCAGGTGCCAAATGTGGAATTTAACTATGAGCTATATTTTCCTTGCTTAATTTCTCCGAATCTCAGTTTGAAAATCAACTCTTCATGATATAGTTTAGCAGCAGTAGGTGTGACAAAGACTTAAAACTTTTTCCTGCAGTTCCTATTTTACATCCTTTGTTGTATAATCCATTATATTTGATAGTATTTTTTAAAAAGACATTTGAAAATGTGTTTGATGGTGAACACGAAGTGTGTTGGCAGTGTCTTAATTCACCAGCACAGCTAGTGTTGTTGTTGGCTGGCTTAGCACACATGCAGCCTCTAAAAGGAAGGGGGAGGTCGTCATGGCATACTCCACAATGACTGGATCGCTGTTAGAGTATTGTTTTCCTTGCTTGGTCACATACTTTAATAAGGACTTCAGAAAACTAGAACATGTTCAGAAGAGGGGAACCTGGCTGGAGAAGGGATTTGAACCTTGTCAATTGAGGAGTGGTTGAAGGAAGTAGGTGTTTGTTGTAGTTGTTGTTGCTTTTTAAAATAAAGCAGGGTACATACCCAGATATACAAATGCATACCATGCATATAGAAGGACTAACTATAAGACAAATATTGATACCATTTTAAATACTTAAATAATCATCAAGCAAACCTCAGTGTGCTTTAATAATGAAACAAATTTTATTTGATAATTTTACTGTAGATTAGGGAAGTTGTATGAATTAAAGCCTTTGAATTTTGCCTGAAACAGTAATTCAGTGCTAGAAACCTGTCCTGTGTAGATTCTAAGTTTACAATCAGGTAACAACCATCATGCCTTTCATTAGTCAACCAAGACCTATGCCTGGGCCCACACTTCAGACAGCCCTTCTTTGATCATTTTCTAATTGTGCTCATCCCTATAGTGTGAGGAGCTAGCCCTCAGTGACCAAGTGGTTCGTTGACCCAGCACCCACACTACTCCCTTGCCAGCTACTTGTTCTTAGAACTGGTAGCAGGAGGAACTTGTTAGAAGTATAAAGTCCAGAGCCACCAGTTCTACTCCAGACTGACTGAATCAGAATTTATGCAAGGGCCAGGGTGAATCGAATGCACTTTAATGCTTATCAAGCATTGTTCCATACCATGCTGAATACCTGACATCCTGAAGTTCCCTGTCCAAATGGCCCTGCCCCTGTTTTCAGGGCTTGTATGAGCTTCTTCAATGAGTCTGTCCCTCCAAGAGCTTACTGAGTTGCTGATGCACATATACTGGGCCTGAGGGGTGACAGGTGATCATCTGTGGAGTGGATCTCTGGATGGAATGTAGAAATATGGTTGATTGTTCTCACTCATGTATTCAAAGTCTGCCACGCTGAGATAAAAGCTACTAGGATTGGGCAAGAAAGGAAGGATCGCAGCATTTATTGATGCTGTTGCTCTGGGCCTGGGTTGGAGACGCAAAACTCTGTGACAAAGAGAAATCACCAATAAAGGCAAAATCATAAAATTCCAAACCCATGTATATGCAAAGCAATACTTTTGCCACATGAAGATAAATTAAAAAACAAGAACAACTTGAGAAAAAAAAAAGTAAACTTTATCTTACTTACCCCAAAGCAAATAAAAACTGTGGAATGTAGGTGAATCAGTTCTATTTCAGGAAATGTATGAAACTTCCTGACTTTGTACATAGTTTGGTATTTCACATCACTTTCCTTCTTAAGCCTCCCCCTACACCCTCCCAATTTCTGATTTGGCAGGTTTTGGTCAGAGCAAAAGAAGCTACCAGGAGTGCAAAAGAATTCAGAAATTCCTTTTCTGCTGACTTGCTTTTCCGAGTTGTGCTTGGTGAAGCATTTTAAATCTACTCTAGTGGTTCCAGGCATTCCACACACAGCCCTACAATGGTCTGCTCAATTCGGTTAAAGGGATTTCTGTAATGTCATGGAGGAATATGAGCACTGAGATCTAAGCCCACATCTGCATCCTCTGAACTCCGCAACTTCTTTTATTGCAGCAGTGTACCTACATGAAGCATGGCCTTTTTGTTGTGTGAATTTTACCTCTGCTATTTAGAAGATAAGCCATGGAGCATCTGAATCTCACAGAATCATTTCAATGACTCCCATTGACCAATAGCAGGAGGAAAAAGGTTAATTGTGGACTGTATTTGCATGTAGAACTTAGAGAAGGGCATTTTTGCTTTGTCTATATAACTTGTGGTATGAAAGATCATCAATAAACTAAAGGAAAAAATAAAATAGTGCATCACATATAATTCCTTGAAATTTCTATTTCAAACTCCTCCAATGTGAGGAGAGTGAACATCTTTTTAGCCTCAAGAGCATGATCCATAGGAAAGTGTTGGGAGAGAAAACTTGGATTCTTGATTTGTCTCAGAACCATCTCTACAAACCACCTTTCTACACAATCCTGGCTGTTTCCACCAGGGCCATGGGGAGCTGGGCCAGAGTTTGTGGAGCTCTGGTTCTAATTGCCTGTGTACGTATTCCAGGCCTTCTACCCTGACTCTCTCTTGAGCGGAAATGGGAACAGATGAGAGTCAGAAAAATGCTTTTCTCAGAAGAGGCTTTTTTTTTTTTTTTTTTAAACCAAGGTACTCTGTACATGTTGAAACTTGGTTATTTGGGGCACTCAAAAGTTACTTCCTTTTACAAGGGGAGACACAAGCATACACAAATCAGAGGCTCTTGTGATTTGCCAAATGTTTCAATTCATAATAGAGGGAGTTGCCTCCAAATGTGTCCTTCATGGTGTGGCATTTTTCTTGGTAGCTTTGCAAGACTTACCTTCTCTCTCCACCTGGCAACCTCTTGGCATAGAAAGCTTCCCCGTAGATGGGCATGCCAGCATCTGTAGCAAAATGCTTTCGCAACAGAGTCAGAGACAAGCTACCTGCAAAGATACAGCCACTTCCTTCCTGGGCATTTCTCTAACATGATTTCATGTAGATCTCAATATTAATAAAGGATCTCTCCCATTCCCCTTTAAACAAACAGGGAACACTTCAAACTGATTTTTAAACTTTGCATTCAGAACATAGACTCATAAAAAAGCAACAGCAACTAGATTGCTCTAGTCTAAGGATTGAGCACTTATATTTTGCTTTGAATTGTGTATTTTTATAGAAATCAATCCTAAGTCTACTCATTTCAAACTGTTGGCTATGTACTACAAAATGGCGTCATGAGAACAGTCGACATGATGTGGGCATGGGCCTTGTCTTGACCAACTTACCATTCCTTTGATGATAGAAAATAAGTATTTAGAATAATTTCACACTGATGATATTAATGCAAATGGGAACCCAGGTTCGGTGTGTGGAATTGTTTGGTGGGAGCCATGAAGAGTTGTGGTTCTGAGTTTTGGGAGTGTGCGCTAGAATTGTACTTGGCAGGCCTGAAGTTGCAGGCTGATGAAGTGTTTCTCAGATGGCTTGGCAACTGGAAGCTCTTTGGGTTTCTGAGCTGGTTGAATCAGCCACATGGAGAGAAGTAGAGGGACGACTGGTTTAAGGAAAGATAAACCAACTATGAAATGGGGACTCTGAATTGTCTTTCCATCTGTTTACCCGGAAAATGAATGACCAATTGGTACAAATGCTTCCTTTCATCGTGGTCCTATATAGATGTAGGAGACATGGAATTATGAGGGGATGTGGAATCAAAGAGGCCTACATTTTAGAGTCGGCTTCATTACTTACTGCTTGATGGCTTTGGATCTCAGGTTTCTCATCTGTGAAATGGACATTACATATCTCTCTATCCCTCTTGTGAGCTTGTAGTAGGATTCAGGATATCGAGCGCAGAAGAACCAAAACACTGCTGGACACTTCCTAGTCCTTGCTCTGAGAAGGGATGACAGTACATTAAACATGAAGGTTATGCTTTTCATGTAAAACATACATGCCCCTCACAGCAAAACTTTTCCCAAGAAGACAGAAGTGATCCCATAGTTCTACCAATAGTGTGAGTATTCTAGAATGTTTGTTTCAATCTTTTTATGTGATTCCCACTTAGGGTTAGTGCCAGGGTAATGGACTGGAAAGGAAGCGGGATTAATGTTGTGCTTCTTTAAGTTTTTATTCTTCCTGTTGCCAAACTTGCCTTTCTTTTTGCAAAGAGAACTGGAGCTGGACCAGATAAGCTCTGGATCCCTGCATCTGACTTTTTTCTTCCTTCAGTGCAGACATAGCCCTGGTCCACACCTGTGCTCTGAGCACTGCAAGGAGTGGGCAACCTGCACCAGCAATGCCCACTATATGCCCCCTTTGCTAACCAGCACTGAGATCTTCGTAACTTGCAAATGCAGCTCAGGGCTCTGGACTGGGAGGCTGGGTCAGCGTCCTACCTTTGGATCAGAAATATCCATGTGTGAATTCCAGCTCTCTACAGCTCTTTGTCTCCAGGTATTTCACATTTCCTTTCTTAATTTTCAGGTGACAACAATTTCCTGAGGAACAATGTGATTGATGAGAAATGTAATGGATGAGAATAACAATGTAATGGTTAAGAAAATGTTTTGTATGCTTGATGGCACTGTCCAACTAGCAAATGTTGAATGTACCAAGCATAGTTAGGCACTTTACATTTTAATTACATTTAATCTGCATGGCATATTTTTTTTTAAAGTGTCACAATCCCCATTTAACAGAAGAGAAAATTGAGATGTGGTAGCATTGAGAAACATACTAATACAGTTAAGTAACAACCACAATTAAATATGTTCAAGATAAAGATGATATTTCATTTGCTGTTTCTCTTTTTGTTTTCTGCTCCTGTCATCACCATCACTACTATCCACCTTCTCCCATCCAAGTACAAACCAGGCCCGACCCTGCTTGGCTTCTGAGATCAGATGAGATCAGGCATGTTCAGGGTGGTAGGGCCATAGACTACTCTCCACCTTCGATTCTGTTCTTTTTCTTGTTTGCCTTTAGTCTTGTCCTTTTTTTTTTTTTAATTTTTGACAGGCAGAGTGGACAGAGAGAGAGAGAAAGAGAGAGAAAGGTCTTCCTTTTGCCCTTGGTTTACCCTCCAATGGCCGCCGGGGCCGGCACGCTGCGGCCAGCGCACCGCGCTGATCCGAAGCCAGGAGCCAGGTGCTTCTTCCTGGTCTCCCATGCGGGTGCAGGGCCGGCCCAAGCACTTGGGCCATCCTCCACTGCACTCCCGGGCCACAGCAGAGAGCTGGCCTGGAAGAGGGGCAACCGGGAAAGAATCCGGCGCCCCAACTGGGACTAGAACCCGGTGTGCCAGCGCCGCTAGGTGGAGGATTAGCCTAGTGAGCTGCAGCGCCTGCTAGTCTTCTTATTGACACTAAGCAGGAGGTTGACAGAGAGCCAGACTCAGTCTTATTTGTGGCCTGGGGCCCAAGGAGGGCAGCTGGGAGAGCCAGGCCTCCCACTCCTCCCAGGCCTCTGTAGTTTTGAGTTTGGTAGTCAGAGAAAAAGTCCTTCAGTTCAAAACCACTCCCGACTGCTGCTCCAGGGATTTCCACCTGCTTCCAAGTTAGGGTTAGGCTACTCCAGGTCATTCATTCATTGCCCTGTTAAATCACAACAATAAATTCCACTAATTTCTGTAGACTTCTGACTTGTCTACCTCCACTCTGCCAGCTCAAAAGTAACCCAGCTGGGGGCCGGCACTGTGGTGCAGTAGGTTAATTCTCTGCCTGCAGCACCAGCAGTCCATATGGGTACCAGTTCTAGTCCCAGCTGCTCCTCTTCCAACCCAGCTCTCTGCTGTGGCCTGAGCAAGCAGTAGAAGTTGGCCCAAGTGCTTGGGCCCCTGCTGCCATGTGGGAGACCCGGAAGAAGCTCCTGGCCCCTGGCTTTGGATAGGCGTGGCTCTGGCCTTTGCAGGCATTTGGAGAGTGAACCAGCAGAAGGAAGACCTCTCCCTGTGTCTTTTCCTCTCACTGTCTGTAACTCTACCTCTCAAATAAATAAATAAAATCTTTATTAAATAAAGTAACCCAGATGGAAACAAATGCAGTTATCATGAAAATACAATTCATGAAACATGGCACAAACAAAAACTATCTTATTGGGCCTTTGCTGCTGTTGTTTCTTCTTTTGTGTACTCAATGCTGTTCTTTTCCAATCATATTCTCAGCTTGTCAAAATCTTCATATCCATCAAACTCCAGCTAAGAGGGCACCTTCTGTTTATGAAGCCACTAGAATCCCATGAGTTCCCTTGGGGCTTGTTATGTTTCTATCCAGATTCTTTCACAGTGCAACTTCTACAAAGTTAAGGTCAGTAAACAATTTTATTTCTTTTTATTTTTAATTTATCTAGGAAGGAGAGAAAGAGAGAGAGAGCGAGCTCACTTGCTGCTTTTCAATCTTCAAATGCCTGCCATAACCTTAACTGGGACAGGCCAAATCCAGGAGCTGGGACTCAAGCCAAGTCTCCCATATGGGCTGCAGGGACCCTACCCCTTTAGCCATTAGCTGCTGCCTCTCAAAGTCTGTACTGGCAGGAAGCTGGAATTGGGAGTTGGAGCTGGGACTCAAAATCAGGCACTTCCAAATAGGATGCAGGCAACTTAACTACTAGGCCAAACGGCTGCTCCCACTTCGGGTTTACCCAGAGCTGTTTCTCTGGGTTCTCCGAAAGGAGGGTATCAGGGATTTACTTAGAATGTTGCCACTGCAGTAATTGTTAAATGCTTTGGGAGTTACACCCTCAAAGATTTAGTGAAGGGATCAGAACAGGAGGTTCCTTTTCCCAAATGTGACAAAGCCCGTGTCTGCCAGGAATGACAGTAGTAATGACAGCATTTCATGTCATGCCCATCAGAGCAGAGGAGGCTATCCCTTTTTAATCCTGGGATCACATTTATTCTATTCCGTCAGTCATAGATTCCAATGAGCCATTTAGATGCTCGTGACTAAAAGAACCATAAAGTTTCTCCAAAGATTATTTATCATTGTCTTCACTGGATTAACTGTCCATTTACATAATGTCTGAAAAACCAAAGCTTTTACCAGAAAAATGGATGCATTTCCATCATAGGAAACAGCCTGAGAAAGAGGACCTTTTGTTTATTTGACCTCAACCCTTATGGTAATACATGCCCAGTTTCTCTGTTTGGAAAAAGCAAATCACAACAGCAGCCAGCGCTGGGAATGTTGATAGTATCCTGATGGTGATGGAAGGGTGCTGGCATAAGAACTAATAAACTTAGCAATCTTTTAGAGCTGTGGGCAAATAGTCTTACTCTTTATATATATCAGCTAGCTTTCCATAAAGGGAAGTATTCAAGTATAAGAAAGCACTAAAATGTACTTGGATAGTAATTTGAATAATATGCTAGACTTTAGTCTCTGTTTTGGTGAAATTAAGGGGGTCAGTGATAAAGGATATAAGTGATGAGTAATAAATCTCTTCCAGGTCTTAAAATATGAGGTTTGTGATAGCTTATAATAAATAGTAAAATATATAGTTCTTTTTAGTAAAATCTACTTAAAGAAATAAATATGCAAATTTAAAAATGACTTCTGGGTCCAGCGCTGTGGCATAGCAGGTAAAGCTACTGCCTGCAGTGCCGGTATCCATATGGGTACCGGTTTGCGTCCCTGCTGCTCCACTTCCAATCCAGCTCTCTGCTATGCCCTGGGAAAGCAGTAGAGAATGGCCCAATTCCTGGGCCCCTGCACCAGCATGGGAGACCCGGAGGATGCTCTTGGCTCTTGGCTTCGGATTGGCACAGCTCTGGCCATTGCAGCCAATAGAGGAGTGAACCAGCAGATGGAATACCTCTCTCTCTCCCTCTCTCTCTGCCTCTCCTCTCCCTGTATAACTCTAACTTTCAAAAAAATAAATAAATAATCTTTAAGAAATGACTTCTACTCAAATAATCCACCCCTGTGGCTTCTGTGAAAACAAAGAACAAAACGAACTAAAAACCTCCTGTGTGTTATTTAACCGAAACCCAAAGCAGGTAATCCTCCTGTCTGGTGGTCAGAAGTGTTAGTTTGAAGAAGTTAGATCATCTTCTAAAGAACCCTATTACTCTAGAAGTAGGAAAATGGAGGCCCAGCAATGTACCTACATCTAAGTCACAAAAGTGCTAGGATGGGATCCTGGTTTTATTGTCTACCAGTCCAGCAATCTTCATACTGGAAGACATCTCATTCTAAAAATGGGATAATATGGCATTGAAATTCACACACTAGCTTGGTCTAGGAATTCATGCTCTTATCCATCTTCATTAAAGAAGGATGCATTATGGTTACAATGAACCTGGTATTGTCAGTGCCCATGTTTCACTGTAAGCGCTTTCTGTGCACACACAAGCACATCCGTCACTGCGTCGTGAAGTCTCAGGTTGGGTCTTTGTTCTGGACCTAAGTCTTCCTCCCCTCACTCACAAGCATGAGCACCTGTAGGGCAAACTCAACAAACACTTTTGAAACAGATGACCATCTGCTTTAAGCACCTGCAGGCCAAGAGGTTTCATAGTCTTTTCTGAGAAGCCTTTTCCAATTATTTTCTCTCACTTCCTCTGTTTTTATTTAACCCTAAGTCTTTTCTAATCCAGGCTAAGATAATTTCCTCTCCTTCTAAGAATTTCTCATATTCAGTAAGTTATCCATTGGCTTTTTATCTAGTGAGTATAACAAATTATTTGGGCCTTGCTGGGAACAGAAAAGTATCCTAGAGATGACCTAGTTTGAAACGTCTGGCTTTCTAGATAGACCTGTAGAGCCCACAGAGAAGAAGTGAAGTGTTTAAATTATCCAGCAAGTTAGTGACTTTTGAACCCATGTCTCCCAGTCTCCACTGAAGGTTCTTACCCCCTGGCACACAGCACGCCTGAATCTGTCCTGTGAACACTATGGATCCATTCTACTTCATCATTAACTCACCCTTCAAGTAATAGAATCCACAGGGTCTCTTATTACCCATGCCAGTAAATGGTTAATCTCACTGAGCCCAAGGCCCTGGAAACTTCTGGGAGGGAGCCAGGTGAGCAAAGAGAGAAGATAAAGGCAGCACCTGCCCGATGGGTTTGGAACAGCCTGGGGACATGAGAGAATGTAAACACATTCTGCAAATCTTATTGTCTGACTCTGTGCCAGCCTCTTTTGGGTTCTTGTCCAGGAAAATATTTCGTCTGAGGTCATTCAATGAGCAAAGGAGCATTGAATACCCTCCAGGGTGCCAACTCTGTCCCTGCTTTTGTCCAGAATAAATAAGCAAGGGACTAGCGTTTCATGGGGGGTAGAAGGCTGGCCTTTCAACAATACAGGCTGTAAGGAAGGGGAAAAAGGAGACAGTTAAGAAAATACCTGGTGTTGTTCTGCACTGCGCTCTCCTCCTCCCCTCACGCTCTCCTCCCCACCTCCCCAACCCCAGTGGCCTCCCTCTGTTTGCTCACCCATACTTACAAGCACACGCCCTGGGTTTAGAGCAAGAGTGAATGTCTGTGCTTCCTCATAAAGCTCTGCGTGGTGCCTCGAGCTATGTTTTTAATTCTGTGGTGGAGCTTTGAGCTGTGAGAGGAGTGGAAAGGAGGGGCGGCTGAGAGGCAACCATGGAGGCTGCCGTTCCTCCTGCTGGAGCCCATGTGCTCCTTCGGCTCTGCCAACAGGGAGTTGAAAGCTCTGCAGAGAACACTCCCAATGCAGGTTAGCAGGAGAGTGTGGCCCGGGGAAGGAAGCTGGCTGTGTTGTCCCAGGTCAAAGGCTGCTTGGCTTCTCTGCACAAAGAAGAACCGACGGGAAGAGCAAATTCACCCAGACTGTTGGACCAGCTAGCAGCTAAAATTGTCTTCAAGGAAGGGGTCCCTCCAGAAGAAATAATATCTGGTCTTAAAAAACCTTATCATCCACAAAAGTTTTCCTCCACTCCACTGGGAGCAACTTTGTGCATTGTTCAAACACATTTATTTTTCACAATCAGATCTTTAGCCACTTGAATAGCGTCTTCTGTAGCGGCCTCATCTTTTCAGCATGTCTTTACTGTTCTGGTGTGGAAGGCAAACCTTCTATGGGTCTGCTATGATGACTTAATGTAGTAATTACTTGGGCCTTCCATCCTGCCAACTACTGTGTTTGAGTAGAATTCTGAGTCTGAGTCACTGCGAACAACATGCAATTAACATAACTGAACCAACAACTGTGATCTTTGAAAATGCTGATCCTCGGTTATAAATACATGCATCTATAAAATTTTTAAAATGCTCATTGGCCTCTAAGAGGTCTCCTAACTTACATAGTCTATGATCCTAAACTCCTGTTATAAATCTCCTTCCACCGTATCCTTATGGAGTCCTTCCTCTGATTCTGCCTCTTTCTCAGTGGCTTTGAACTTTAACTGAAGAATACATTACTTTTCTTGCTTCCACACTGGAAGTGGGAGCTAGATACAGCTGGTTTCTTTGAGGACAGAGTGCAGGAATAAATCACGATGCCACAGAGGCTCCTCTGCTTGTGTGAAGAGAACTGCAATTTTCTCTCTGTAGCAGGTTGAGGTATGGGAAAGTGGTGTCTGTCAAGTTGGTTCAGAGGTCATCAGGTCATGGACTTCCGGAATTCAGGGACTGATTGTCCTCCATTTCTCTGCCTCCAATAATACCCTGCACAGAGAATGTGTGATGTAAATGGTGGAATTGAAGAAAGGGAACCCGGGAATGTTTTGGGATGCCACCTCTGAAGGGATTGAAAAGATGATTTTTTAACTCATTACAAAAACTAATTAAGGAGCTATGCTTATTCAGTCTGAAGAAAAGAGAACTAAGGGCTGATTTGAACTATCTGAATGGAAATCTCATTGATGAACTTAAAGTAGGAAATCATTCATCTAAAAATACTGATGGAAAACAGAGGCTGGACACAGGTGTATCCTGGGACTCAGAATCAGATGGAAAGAGAGGGATCAACAGCTGAAGACAAGCAAAGACTCTCCTAGAATTTCCTTTGTGCTACAGTTTGCTTCTCTGTTTGATCTTTGTCCAAGGATCATGCCATTTCCCCTTCCCCTTTTTAATTCTTTCACCAGTGGTTCTTGGTAATCTCATAAAGTCTGGTCATATTCTGTATCTAATTTCCTGTACCTACTTCTATGTCTACCAAAGTAGATAAAAAGTTCCTATATAACTTAATTAAAAGTATCAAATCACTGGCAGTATAGTAGGCATTATAGTATATAGTAGACTCTAACTATTATATTGTTGGTTGGGCAGTGCTTTATAGCACACATGCATTCTCCTCTCGGTCTTCATGGAGTTGTTGCAACCTAAACATTAGAAAGTTGATGTGAAATGCCCAAAGACACAGAGCTAGTGCCAGTCATGGGTAACACCCAGATATGGTTTCAGAAAGAAAGTTGCCAATTTTTTCCTTGTTTATTAATTTTGTGTTAGCATTTCTGACTTAGCACTGTATCCCCATTTGATTAACACTGTAACTCCATGAGAAAAATCCAGTCCTTTTATCCTGACCATGTAACTTGTTTATAGTTTCCCACTTAGCTGTCAATCCTACTTTATATTATAGTATCTCATAATTGCTAATTTGAGTCTATATATAAATCCAGTCATTTTGAGAGAGAGAGATTCTGTTTTTGATGTTTACCAGGGATTCTTGGGTAAGTATTTTGTTCATAATTAATGGCAGACTTCTTAGGATAATTCTTTTAACTTTGTTTCTATGGGAAATAAGACTACATGTGTGCTAGAAGAACTTTAATGTCAAACATTTTGGTAACAGTAACCCAGAATGAGGAAAAGATACCTGGATAAAGTTTGAGGAGACCACAACTCTCATCAGCTCATTTCTGTCTGGTAGTGAGCGTTATGGAATGCCGTGGTATCTTCTGAGTCTCCATTTGCTCATCTATAGAAAGAAGGCAGTGCTAGAACTGTGGCACAGTGGGTTAAGCCACCGTCTGCAGCACCTGCATCTCATATGGGCAATGGTTCAAGTCCCAGCTACTCTGCATCTGATTTGGTTCCCTGCTAATGCACCTGGGAAAGCAGAAGATGGTCTGAGTACTTTGGTCCCTGTACCCACATGGAAGACCTGGATGAAACTTCTGGCTTCTGCCTTCGGTCTGCCCCAGCCTTGGCTGCTGCAGCCATTTGAGGAGTGAACAGCAGATGGAAGATTCTCCCTCTCCCTCTCCCTCTCCCTCTCCCTCTCCCTCTTTGCCTCTCCCTCTCCCTCTTTGCCTCTCCCTCTCCCTCTCTCTCTTTGCCTCTCCCTCTCCCTCTCCCTCTCCCTCTCAGAAGATCAGAAAAGCATCAATTGTCTTCCCAATTGTCGCAATGACATTTGATAAAAGAGATGACGATTAACAGCCCTCTTACACTGAAGGCTTTGCAGGAGGGCATGAGAGGCCCACCTTTGTTTTCTTCTTGTAGACATTACTTAGTTTTAGATTAATCTTCCTGCCTTTTACCCCAGGAGCTCAGGAAAGAAGGTTGACTGAACTTATAAATTTACAAGTTTATGATATCTCTGAGAAAGGTCTTTGTTATGGTCAAATTGATTGCTTCTCTAGAAATCAGGGTTCTTAAATTTCAGGCTTAAATTTCACTTGGGGCTTCCCTTTGGTAAAAAAATGTGAAGTGTACTTAACAGAGAAGCTATCTTGGCAGATTTTCATCCCCTTTGGATAAAATAGAAAATTACACCCAGCACATAAATTGAGATATGAAGCAGTAAATAATTTCATTGTGCAAATTGTTTTAATGGACTCAAACAGGAAGGATCTATTAACCAGCACACATGAAATATTCATTGAATTTAGGGTGTCAGGACAAAAAAGCAAAAGACTGCACGAAAATCCAGAATAGAGGATGACAGATGTCAGTATGGCAGCCTGGAAGGTGAGGGGCTGGGAAGGGAACTTTAGCCATGTATACAATATTTTTCTTTTCCTCTTCCTCTTTCTTATTTTCTTTCCTATTCTTTTTATTTTATTCTTCTTGGGCAAAGGATTAAGTACAAAAAAGTTGGGTGTCAAATATAATCATGAAAAATCTGAGGACTGAGCAGCAGAGTGTGCCAGGCTCTTTTCTTACATTCCTTTTGATAGACGCAGTTCAGGGATCAGCCGACGCGGGAGTGGGTATTATATGCACATGTGTGAGGTTGTGTTTATACACATTTCTCCATGGATAAACATTCAGAAACCACAATAGCATTCCCAAAGGAATCCTTCCTTAATACAGGAAGTGACAGCTTTGCGAAGGCACCACAATTAAGCTCTGGTTTTTCATTCTAGAAATCCAGGATTTAATTTCTAGAAAAAAAAAAAAAATCAAACCCCTGTGATGTTCCATAGGGCTGTTTAGAATTACAGGCAATGCAGTTTTAAAGCTGATTGAATGCAAGTCACCTGAGCTTGGTTTAACCTCCAGGCATCTACTTGCATTCAGAGATGTCTAAAAGCACAAACCATACATTCTTCCAGACACATCTGTAAGAAGACACAGAGATGGCAGTTTTGTTTTTCAGCACAGCCACATTCGTCTGCCATAACATACTTCCTACGCTCTTAAGCTGACTTCATTTTGCTAGGCTCTTGGGATCTGGGTCCTCCCATATGTTGTAGGCAATGATTGTGAATTTACTGGCAAAGAGAAGACACAGTTTGCTTAGGAAATTTGACATGTTTGTTGCTACAATTTCACTGGATGGAATGTGGGCAGGGAATAGAGGACACTGAGATACAGAAGCTGAGGTTACAGGAGGTTCTGAAGCGATCACCATTCCTCTTGGAGATCACATATGACCTGCCATTTAGGAAGTCTCATGTATCTTCTCATCAGCTCTTGGCTATGTTGACTATTTTGTGGGAATTGTCACTGTAGCCATGTCATCTCCTTTCTTCTCAAAACTGCCTCCCACTTTGACTGTTCTTGTCCACCTCTTTGACATCTCCTGTCTTCTTTCTCTTCTAATTGTTCCCATCAGGATGTGGACATGAAGTCCATATTTCCAGCTCAAGCCACTGTCCTGCACGCATATTTCTAAGCATTTCCACGTAGACTTCTTTGTAATATCTTGAACTCACCATGTTGAAACCAGATTCATTCTTTTTTTTCCTCTTTTCCTAAATTCCCTTGAACAATTCAACTAGATGGGCAATAAACCACTTACTTATTCCAGCTGCAATACAAGGCTAACTGAAGTATTGCATTTCTTTCCTCCTACCCTTTTCTTTTTGCTTTAATTCTAATGAAAATGACTAATGGAAAATCCTTTCCTTGTAGGAGACAAGGAGAAGGCCTTAGGATCTACTGGGGGAGTCCAGAGGACCAATCACTGCTATCACGCTGGAACCCATGGTCCACTCAGGTTCCTTATGCTACCTTCACTGAGCACCCTATGAAATATACCAGTGAGAAATTCCTCGAAATTTGTAAGGTAGGAAGCAGGTGGGGCACTACTCTTAGATTAGCTTTATTGGTTGTTCTAGAATGTGTGCAGTTAAAATAAAACAAAAAAGACAAGATACAACCTGGGGTTTCTATAGACAAAATCCTGAAGTATGTGGACATTTTTAGTAAACAACGGAGCTGTTTTTTACTCATATGTAAGTAGCATGATGCTTCTCCCTTGAAAATTCCTTTAATGTAACATTGTTTGAAAATTGCATGTTGTCTGATTGCATGTATTGCCTATAGAGTATATGTAGTTTTTATAAGTACATCCTAATAATTTTATTCAAGGAAGAAATGTAGAATAGAGTAAACTATGTGTAGTCAGAGGTGGCTCTGTGGTCATGTTTAAGTAATTTCTCTCCTTTACATCCTGGTATCCACATCCCTAAAATGGAGATGGTAAACACTGCTCTTCCTCACAGCTTTGTTGGGTCTAGTACGTTTGATAGCATGCTCATAAGTACTGTCCACAAAGGGTAAAGCAATTAGGATTATTTCTATATCCTAAAGTCTCATCTCTTCAAGCATATTTTAAACTCATTAGTGGCCAGGACAGTAACTTCTACTGTTCATTCTTTCATTTCCCCCCAGAATATTTAAAAGTCGTTTGGGGCACCCCCAAAAGTACAGAGAAAGAAAAACAGGGGAAAGAGAGGGTTTGAAAAAAAAAACAAACTTTCCCCGGCGCCGCAGCTCACTAGACTAATCCTCCTGTTGCGCCAGCAGCCGGGTTCTAGTCCCAGTCAGGATGCTGGATTCTGTCCCGGTTGCCCCTCTTCCAGGCCAGCTCTCTGCTGTGGCCAGGGAGTGCAGTGGAGGATGGCCCAAGTCCTTGGGCCCTGCACCCGTGTGGGAGACCAGGAGAAGCACCTGGCTCCTGGCTTTGGATCAGCGCGGTGCGCCAGCCACAGCGGCCATTGTGGAGTGAACCAATGGAAAAAGAAGACCTTTCTCTCTGTCTCTCTCTCTCACTGTCCACTCTGCCTGTCAAAAAAAAAAAAAAAAAAAAAAAAAAAGGTCAATCTTTGCAGGTACAACAAAACAACAGAGGCACGTGAGATTGCACTGATAAGCCTAGAAACCCTTACCTTCTGGATCCTTTGGTATCTGCCTTTATATTCTGTTGTTTACTTCAGAATATTATAGCTCTTTACTTACTATAAATATAAAATTTTGTAATTCTTTCTTTGATAGGCTATCATGTATTATTTTAATATACCTATTCATGCCAGGGTATGTATATTAATGAAAATATGTATTTTAAATTGATAAATCCCCCTATTTTAAAAAGAGTTCAGGGCCAGTACTGTGGCATAGGGGGCTAGGCTCTGCCTGTGGTGCCAACGTCCCACATGGGCACCGGTTCAAGTCCGAGCTGCTGCACTTCTGATCCAGCTCTCTGCTATGGTCTGGGAAAGCAGTAGATGATAACCCAAGTGCTTGGGCCCCTGCACCTGAGTGGGAGACCTGGAAGAAGCTCCTGGCTCCTGGTTTCCAATCAGCTCAGTTCTAGCCGTTGTGGCCATTTGGGGAGTGAACCAGTGAACAGAAGACTTCTCTCTCTCTGCCTCTCTATAACTCTGCCTTTCAAATAAACAAACAAATAAATAAATCTTTAAAAATAATTCAAGGCAACCTATATGTGATTAGAGGCTAGATAGGATCTTCACTTCTGTTAATATAGAAGTAAGTATGCCTCGAATACCATTCTCCTCCCGGAATAAGTCCAGGGTCCTCTCAAAAAGTACGCTAATGTCTGCAGAGGCTCACGGTACCATGGGTTACCTCCAGCTCCAAGCTACTGCCGACACTAAATTAGCTCAGTGTGTGGGTCATGTTGCTACTCTTCATGTGATACTGCTATTGCACAATGCCTCCGCAGAAGTGTCTACATCAGCCACTTGCCTAACGCTTCACAATCCAAAGCCAAGAAAACAAACTAAAATGACAACCAGTAAGGACACCATAACACTTGCACAAAGGCATTTATGTGAGAATACATTCACTGAGAACATCAGGGAGAGAATGTGTGAGTTTGCATTTTACAAATCCCCTTAACTTCAAATGCAAAATCAGATTTCCCTGTTTTTAAAACTTCTAACTAATAACAGTACTCTGACACATTGTTTTATAATCCTCTCTCTCCTTTTTCTCCTGCCGTTGTCCCTCACAAACTTTTGTTCTTCTATCATTATTATTAACAATATAGAGCAGTTTGTTTTTCATTAAAACATCTGCTAATCCAAGTGAAAGAGCTTAATAACATCTTGTCCCAAAGATATTTCCCTTCTATAAAGGAAAACTGGTTCTAACCGTTAAAATAATAAATATTATTGAATTAATAGTAATTGTATTTTATTATAAGTCAAAATAAATACCAACTGCCTTGGTTATTACATCCATTTATTCCTGGGCCAAGTTTTCTCTTATTCATCATACCTGGTGCATTAGGTACTTATTCCCCGAGTGTCCTTTGCTGGAAGAAGTTCAGGGTGAGAGAGTTAAGAACAAGCTTTCCATGAGAGTATTTCAGGCATGGAAAGCCAAGACACTCTGGCAAAAAAAAAAAAAAAAAAAAAAATCCTAAATGAAAGATCTCTGTGAGTGAGATCCCAGTGGAAAGAACAGGTCATTAAAGAAGGAGGTACCTTTCTCTGAAGGGAGGAGAGAACTTCCACTTTGACTATGACCTTGTCTAAATAAGATAAGGGTTGGTGAGCTCAAAAGGCTTCCATAGCCTTGGCAACTCATGACGAGAGCCTAGGGTGATTACTGAGGCCATAAACAAGAGTGTCAATTTGTTAAGTCAACAACAGGAGTCACTGTGCCCTTACTCCTCATGTAGGATCTCGGTCCTTAATAGGTCTGATCTGATTTCATCATCATTTAAAAAATCATCTATTATTTTTCACTTTATGTTTCTGTGTGGGAGCAAACTGTTGAAATCTTTACTTAATGTATGCTAAACTGATCTTCTGTATATAAAGAGAATCGAAAATGAATCTTGATGTGAATGGAAGGGGAGAGGGAGTGGGAAAGGGGAGGGTTGTGGGTGGGAGGGAGGTTATGCGGGGGAAGCCATTGTAAACCATAACCGTACTTTGGAAATTGATATTCATTAAATAAAAGTTAAAAAAAAAAGAACAAGCTTTATGAACTGCAGAGAAATACCACAATCTCGTAATATCTGATAGTGCTTTGATTGATAATGCTACATTTAATTGCAATAATTTCAATAATAAGATAGAAAATAAAGTATCAAAGAAATTATGGAATGATTATTTTCCAAATATCAATGAATATAATTAGTAGACTAATTTTATCTTTACCTTCATAAATCAATGGCTAAAAGGGAATCTTAGCACTTTTTTTTAGCTGTTAACGGATAGAAGTAGGAAGAGCAGGGGTGTGTGTGCACACATGCATGTGAATCGGATGGGTGGCTAGTTGGTTAGTTTTCAGACAAATGAATGTTGTGGGTCTGTTAAGTATATTTCCTTTAAAATATTTCTCCTTCAATTATTATTCCAGATTTTCTTTTTCCTTCCTGGCAGCAGTCTGGCACATTCACTTGCCAAATCATTTATTATTCAAAGGCCACCCCAAGTCCCAGCTCTCTAGGAAAATAAATGATCTCCATCTGGGATGTGAGACGATAAGTACTTTGATCCAGTTCTTAGAGTATTAGTTTCCTTTTTGTTGTTAGTTTATATGTCACAATATTATCTGTGTTTAGGACATTTTCCAAGATTGGCTTTGATTAAGACCCAGTTATATTAATGTAAAAGAATAAATACATAAAACGATAATTTGGGAGATCTAGATTCCCTTTTATGTGAGTGTTTTTATATAACATAAGATTTTAAAGCAGTGTTATAAACTTTTTTTTTTCATCTCTGTAATGAATGAAATAGGGAAAAGTAGAAGAATATGGGGAGAAATATGTAATTAAACCAAATACCTGAAACAATTTAATTAAATTTAACAAACCTATTGTTGTAGAGATGAAAGAATGATGTAGAGTTCAGTTACACACAGACAACCTTTTCAAATTATTTGCAATCTAATGGAATGCATTAAAGTGTTCAGGGACAGGCACTGTGATGAGTGGGTTAAGCTGCCACTGGGGATGCCACATCTCATACCTGAGCGTCTGGGATAGAATCCAGCTTTGCTTCAAATTCAGCTTCCACATAATAGGCAGCTCATGATGGATGAAGTACTTGTGTCTCTGCCACCCATGTGGGAAACATAGATGGAGCTCTAGGCTCCAGACCTTGATCTGGTCCAGCCCTGACTGCTGCTGCTATTTGAGAGTGAGCCAGCAGATGGAAAACTCTCACTGGCTCTCTTACTCTCTCTCTCTCCCTGTCACTCTGCCTTTCAAATAAATAAAAATGCATAAGTAACTTTAATAAAAATATTCAAACTTATTTTTACCCAGAGTCTTTCTTCTATAGCACCTGGAACAACAAGTGCTAGTCAACAAAGCTTTTCTGACACTCACCAAGTACACCTGTTAGAATTATTGTTGGGGCCAACACTGGGGTGTAGAGGGTAGAGCCACCACCTGCAGTGCCAGCATCCCATATGGGCGTCGGTTTGAGTCCCAGCTGCTCCATTTTCAATCCAGCTCTCTGCTATAACCTGAGAAAGCAGTAGAAGATGGCCCAAGTCCTTAGGCCCCTGCACCCACGTGGGAGACCCAGAAGAAGCTCCTGGATCCTGGCTTAGGATCAGCACAGCTCTGGCCATTGCGGCCTATAGGGGAGTGAACCAGCAGATGGAAGACCTCTCTCTCTCTCTCTCAAATAAAATAAGTAAATCTTTTTTTTTTTTTAAAAAAAAGAATTATTGTTGAGGGTACAAACATAAACAATACAATAGTTTTGCCTTTGTGGATACAATTATTTTAAAAAAGAGACACATTTAAATCAAATGGTAGGAAAAAGAATACTAACTGTCTAAAACAAAGGTTTGGAT